ACACTTTAAAGTGTATTTGAGATAAATGCCCTGTAGTTGCAAGTTGCTAAGAAACTTGCATCTTGTCTACAGAGGTGTTTGTTTGTGGCAACCACCTTTCCTGTTGTAGAAATTCAGTAGAATGGCAAGTAGATGGGATTATGACACATTGTTTTGTTGTACAGTAACCAAATAAACTCTCCAAAGTTGCAGATTAATGTAGTCTTGGTTAAGGAGTTACTTTCAATGAATTGTGGCCATTTAATATGTCTCTTAGGAATTTGGAAGGCCCCTTTCATATACTGTACTTTTTTTTTCTCTACACTAAGTGAATTAGTTCTTTGATTTTATATTTTTTAAGGAAGCAAACTAAAGCTTCTGTAAGAAAAGTGCATGACCTAAAATTACACATTTGCTGTTCAGCCATAAAATGTGCCTGCTTACTTTGAAAATGTACACCACTGGGTACAAGTGAGAATCTGTACGCATAAGTAGTGGAATTTTTTATACTTGCTTTCTTAAATAATCTTCAGCCATGTGGTCTATCTTACTTCTGGTTATTGGTGTAGTAAAATAACAGGATTTAAAAAAAAAAAATCTTAAGACTACTTCAAAGATTAAGCACAAACAGTTGAAATTCTACTTTCAGACCCAGCTCTCTGCACAGAGTCATACAGCAGTACCAAACATGTATATGTGTGAATATCTGTTTGTGAATCAAAATGTTTCCAGTCACTCTAGTTCTGTTGCAAATGCAAGTAACATTTGTAGTTCATAATGCCTATTTGGGATTCTGCAGTAGGGGTTTGAGAAAAGCAGGAATCAAATTAAAATCAAAGGCTAAAGTAGAACGATTGACATCACCGTGCTAACAAAGAGCAAATCATTTGGAGTGCTTTGGTCTTACATGGTAGGTGTGTGGTAAAAGTATTTCTAATACATACCACTGCTACAGACTCTGGCATCTTCAATTCTAGTTAAACTTGGGGTTCTCCGTAAACTGAATGTCCAATGTGTTAAAAACATATGAAGTACTTAATTAAAATTAGAGGTCTAAGCTGGATAGTGGCAACATATCTTTCTATGTTTGTCACTTTTAGGCTATAGAAAGTGCAATAGGTGGCAATGCCTATCAACACAGCAAAGTGAACCAGTGGACTACAAGTGTGGTAGAACAAACTTTAAGTCAACTAACAAAGCTGGGGAAACCTTTCAAGTATATTGGTAAGTTTGTGCTGCTATATTGGCTTTGCTTACATTTCAGTCTTCTGGTATAGTCAATCTATTAGTGAGATTTATTTAAAGATGAATGCAAAACTTTTTATATAAACTGTCTCCTAAACTAGAACAATACATTATATTTTAGTTATAAACTATGAATATACAGTAAAGCTGATTTTATAGTTTGATTTACTTGCCAAATATCTAGTGTCAGTCTGTAGATTAGAGTCTGGCACTGGTATCTTGCGTGCTGTTGGTTTTGTTCCCCTTGCCCCCAAGAGGTAGGAATATTGTTGCCCCTTCACGAGGGGGGTTGGGAGGAGTGAGACATAGAGATTAAGTGACTTGACCAGCATCCCACAGAACTGGGGAAAGAATCCCCATCTCTTGTCACATTTCACTGCCTTAACCACAAGACCATCCTTCCTGTTACAGGTTATAAACTTCTTTATTTGTTACCAAAGTGCCTGTGAGTCCCAGTCCTGGATCACGACCTTATTGTGCTAGGTGCTGTACAAAGGGGGAGAGGGGGAGCCTTTCCCTGTCCAAAAGATCTTAGTCTGTCTTGAGATTTTATGTAGGTGATGGCCAGAGCTGATTTATTTGGGACACCTTTGAAGTATCCGTGTTAGCACCTTAGCTTTTTCTTACATTGATTTTTAGTGCTTTTGTATTTATTCTGTTATACTATTTGACGTGTAGGGGTCTGCATCTTTTTGCTAAGAAGTTTTTACAGTAAATTGCATTCATGTGGTGGATGTTGCATGTAGTGAATTTGAGTTCATAGACAGAGGGGACTGATGTAAGTGTGTTGATAGTAATGGTCAGTTTGGTTCTCTAATGGAAGCCTCTTTTGTATGTTAACAGTGACCTGTGTGATTATGCAGAAAAACGGTGCTGGCCTTCACACAGCAAGCTCGTGTTTCTGGGACAACACCAGTGATGGTACAGAAGCGACTTAATTTTCTTTCTTAAATAGCAACTTTACATAAAAATTATCATGCTAGAACTTGCTTTTATTGACAAGATTCTGATGCTGTATTTTAGCTAAGACTGACACTTAATCTTAAACTACTATTTTGGAGCAGGGTGGTACAGATTAAACTGCCTTTGGTGGAAAGGAGCGGCAAAAGTCTCCAAATTAAGAGGCTTATAAATTTATTTCAATACATGTGAAGTTAGCAGCTAATTTCTTAAAAAAAAAAAAATTGCAAAGTTTAACTACTGTGATAGCTTCACTCTTAGAATTTAAAGTTTCACTTTTTAATCAATTTTTAATATAGATGTCTGATCATGATATGGGGAAGCATGCATAACTTGGTGTATGTAATGACAAACTTCTTGGTTTTAAATACTTTCTCTTCTGCTGTAGGAAACTGCACTGTGAGATGGGAGAATAAGACTATGTACTGTATTGTCAGTGCCTTTGGACTTGCAATATAATTGCCTTGGAACTGCTCAGCCTTCTACTGATTTTCTTCTTCAGCACTTCCATTTCATAATCTGTTCAAATTGAATACACTTACTTTTGTTTTTAATGTACTTTTTTATGTAGTTCTTTCAAATGGAGAAATGTGAAAACACTAGTCATATGCTGTTACAAGGACTATACATTTGATCTTTATTGCACCAGTGTTGCCAGACTGTCTTAAAATTTCAAGGACTTCTCAAGGTGCTAATAAAAAAAAAACACACCCTGAAACCTGCTGCAATGTAAAGGTTTCTTTAGCTTTACTCTCTGAAACTAATTTAAATAAGAATTTTCACACTTTGTACTTTTGGTTAGCATTAAATTATTGAAGTTCATAACTTTGTGTGACTCATCTATTGAATTCAACTGTTTTGTGGTTTTGGGTTTTTGTTTTGTTTGGGGTTTTTTTTTGGTAGGGGAAATTTAAGAGAATAGCTTTTCATTCTACTTGTTTTCAAGGTGTATGTCATAATTAATCTCTGATGTAGACAATCTGCCTACACTGAAGTGTATGCAGAATTGCAGGAATCTTATTTGAGACAATACTATTGAAATACAACCATGGTAAAGACTAAATGAGCAAAGGCACAGTCTAAAAAGATTCTCTGATCTCATCTCTGCTGCATTTAACACTGGTCCCAAGAATGCATTTCTTCCATATAGTAATTCAGTAATTTTGTGAGCCTCTTCTGCACCATCTGTGTTTAAATAGGAGGGCTCAAGGAGGCATCTAATATGGTCCAGTCCTATCAGGCATCTGAAACATGGGTTAAATTGAAGTGCTATTAAATAACATTGGGTTATATGGGGGACTCAAGGGATTTGGATAACTAGAATTTTCAGATAAAGCAAATGCAGATAAGTGGAATTATAATGTGTCTGGTTCTCTGAAAACCTCTACCTTAACTATAAGAGTTGTAGAAAGTCAGAAAACTTGAAAAAATAAAGGGGAATGCTGTTTCCCTTCTGAATGTTTGTGGGACCTGGGTTTGTGTGTGGGGTTTTTTGTGTGTGAAACTTCTATTTCCCAGTGGGGGAAAAAAGGGACACAAATAAACCAGAAGAAATGCATATCATACACCTATACTATTCTTCAAAATGTTAATCTTGCCTTCTAAAATAGTAACCATAGAATCATGTTTTTAACCATTAGTTCGCTTGCAGAAATGTGCTCTAGTTATTACTTGTGTCCTCAAATGTCATGGGGCATCAGTATTGCTTCACTTTTGCATTATGCAGTAATATATTATAAATATGTAGGTCATTATTAGACGTGAACACTTATCTATAAAAGCAACTTCCACAGCACAATCAGAAACATGCAGGCCCATACTGGTTTCAACCTTATAACTAACTGCTTCTGCAAGATTATTTATACGGTTAAGTGTTTGCAGGGTCAGGCCCTAAATTAATAGTGCAGTGTGTAAAGAAAGAGGATTGAAACGGCTGAATTTTTTTGCTTGGTCAGTATCCTTCAAAACAGGAGGCTGAAGAGGGCTATAAAGCCAGCTGCTAGTGGAATGATTTTGCTCTGTTGCTTTTGCAGATGGGTATGAGGGACAGCCATCATTTTCACTTTCTCTAAGTGCTGCTGATGGTTTTTGGTGCAGCATGTTCTCCCCAACAAGTCATGGTGTCTATGCAGATATACAGGGGTAACTATATATGCTGGTCAACTAGTTAAACATTGAATCATAGTGTTGAAGAGCTCTGAGCTCAAAAGCTTCTCTTCCACTAACACAAGCTGATCCAACAAACAACTACCTCCCCCACTTTGTCTAAGATCCTGGGCTTACCGTAGCTACAGTGCCCCCATCTCAACTGAACACTGATATACATAACTGGAATCGGTCTGGTTCATTTGTTGGTTAATATTGATAGGTATTTAGTCCACTTAGAATTCTATCAAATGCTTGAGCTGCTGCATGTGTTAACTTACTTGTAATGTCTATATTACAATATGGAATATAATAATTGAGCAGGTGCAATGTAAGCCTTTGAATATATTAGTCACTGTGGAGGAGAGGGGTATTTAGTAGTGTGAAGAGCTGCTCTTCTACAGAAATTGTTAGGCCCCTCTCCCTATATCTAGATTGAGGAATAATGCAACACATGGCCTAGAGAGCCATTGGTAGTCTGTTTGCCTCTGTGACGATGAATCATGGACATGGCCTCCTGAGTTACCAACTGAGTGCATGTGGTAGGGGGGAATAAGAGCCCCAAACAAAAAGAAGGTAAGGTATGTCTGCACTGCAATTAGACACAAACTGGCTCGGGCTATTTAATTGTAGTGTAGACATTGGCTTGTGCTGCAATCTAAGCTCTAGGCCCCTCTCATCTCACAGGGTCCTAGACCCCAGGCTTGAGCCTGAGCCCTAATATCTACTCTCCAAATAAACAGCCTCTTAGCCTAAATCAGCTGACAGGCCAACTGCTAGTTTTTTAAGTGCAGTGTAGGTATAGCTCAGGCTTTCTATGTTGTTGGGATCTTGAATGGGGGAATGGAGATTCCTAGGCCCAAGTAAGATTCCCAGCAGCTTAGGTTAACTTTAAAGGACAAATAGCGCTTCTTCATTATAGAAGCCTCTATTACCTTTACTAAAAACAAAACAAAAAATCTTGCCTCACTCATTCAGGTGTCTACAGGCAGCTCTACACCTAAATTGTTGCACCAGTGTAGCTGTGCCACTATAGTGGTTCAGTGGAGACACTGCTATGCTGATGGGAGACCTTCTCCTGTCAGTGTAGTTAATCCACCTCCACACTACCATAGCACTGTCTACATCAGGGGTTAGGTTAGTATAACTATTGCATAGGGGTATGGAGTTTTTACAACACTGAGCAATGTAGTCATCTATGTAAGTTTGTAGTAGAGACCTGGCCTATATTTGCTTGCTTTAACTTTGTAAATAACTAGTTTCCTTTTTCCTCTGTAATAAAATTGTATACAAGGATTGTCCTTGGTGTGAACTTTAAGGTGCAATAGATCTGAGGTAAGTCACTGGTCCTTGGACTAAAAGTACCCTGAATATTACTGAGTCTTGCTGTTTCTCAAGGGCCATCTATCTCACAGATACTCATCTAGGTGGCAAGATAGTCCTTGGAGAGGCTGGTTTATCTGACTAGTTAAGGCTATTAGTATGCCTGGAGTTTGCCCTTGAACTTCTGATCAATTTGGTGTTTGTGAGCTGGTTGTTTTAACAGTCTACCCTGAGGCTGGTACTCACTCTGGGAACATCACACTTGAGTTTTCAGAATTCAAGTGAAATGAAGTGTCAATGCTATGATTAATATTGCAGTTTTTATCCTTTTAAGCACATGGGATACACTTCCTGTGCTGATTAAACATTTACAGGTTAAGTAAAGCTTTTTGGTGTGGCCATTACATTATTAATGTTTTGTGAGTGTGTGGTGTAGAAGGGAACAAAATTCTCAGTCCTATTTGTAAGAGGAAGAAATGCATTTGCTGACCAAATTGTTGACATCTTCTCTCCCTTTGTCATGTTAGATCCAACTTAAGACTGAGTTTTGCAAACACACATGCTTAAGTAGATTATCCCATTGATAAAGTTAACTCTGAATACTCATTAACCACATTTATTTCCAGGATTATGACCCTAGACTGTAAAGTGCTTAGGGTAAGAACATCTTTTAATATGTGATACTGTACCCACATTTCAATAGTAGGATTTTAAGCACAACTAATGGGGCAGATAAAGACTAAATCTTTGAGGTTGATTGATTTTTGCATACTCTGAGGTCTTTAGTAATCTTGACTGAGGCCTAGACCAGTTTAGTCCAAGCAGAGGTAACTAAATAAAGGTATTTGACAAGTTGGTGTGGTACTTGCAAATACCTGCTCAGGGCATCTAATCAGAATGTAATCTAGCCTGACAGCTGAGTAATTCCTGTCACAGTAACCAAAACCAGATCCAAGCCTGGAACGCTGGGGCATGCTACCAGGCTTCTTTCTACATTATATAGTTGACATTGGGCTGAGGTAATTTTAAACAGTGTATTTTTCCTGACTAGTGGGGACTGGAAGGCCTTTGAGGAGATGGCATTGATACACTATATCTTGCACATTAGCTTGCTATTTCTAAAATAAAGCACCTTGAAATACTTGCCATTAGGTTCTAGAGTTAACAGTGAGCTAGACAAAAGCTAGCCCCACCCCAGTTTGTCTCTTCAGCCTCAGAGGACCCTCTTACTGCTCATCTTTGTAAAGTTTTCTTTGCAATCTTAATGGTTAAACTTAAGCAATCACTGATTCCTACTTAAGTTCTGCAAAAAGTAATGTCAAAGCACCCCATGTGAGCACTGGTTAGCATGTGTATCTGGTTATTTTCCTATCTCTAATTCTAGATAGTAAAGAATCTCTTCAAGTCTATACTGATACGTTAAATATTTCTATTGCTAATAATTAAACTTTCCTGCTGCTAGGACAGTATCAGTTTAGTATGTATGCACACAAGGCTGTCTTTTGTACCTGTAAATTAAAATAGTGCTAGATCACCACCACCTAATGGAAGGAAAATGAAACCCAAATGCAAGTGTAAAGATACAGTATGAAAACTATTTATTAACATATTTAATGCACATGAAGTCTTCCATGTATCAGCACCCAATTTTTGCTGAAGGTAAACAATCAGGTTTGCTTTGTATTCTATACCAGAAAGATTTCCAGTGTAAATAAATGATTTATTAACCAGTTCCCCTAAAACACAATACTAATGCATACCTTCTCAAAGCAGCACCATATTTACAGCTTCTCATTAACAGAATATTTATCTTACACATTCTATACCATTTTGGTATACCATAGTTTTGCTTCATTTTACATATATTTACAAACTTTAAAAAATGTTGTTTTACAATAGCATGAGGGTTTTGTGTAGTGTATAGCAGTTACTGGCCCAGTCAGGACACATGGCAAAAAGGGAAGAAGCAGGCTTACAATAATTGCCTTTTGGATCAAAGAAAGCTATCAAGTCAAGAATCCTTTCATTTCAAAACAATCTTCCCAAAGCAGTTCATGCTCTCTGCTACCTTTGGTTAAGAATGAAAATCCAGTTTAACAAAGATTTCTCTTCCCTAATGTATTCCTCTGGGTTATACTTCCTCTCCTTGGCCATAGAGAACAGGATATTAGTTTCCCAGGCAGCCTTAACACTGATGATGTCTTAAAGCCAATACAACAGCAAAACTGTGCATGAGTGTTCAGGACCTAACAATACCTGAATCACCAGTGTAGGCCTGAGACCTGATCAACACCCCCACATATTAGACCTGCCTTGGGTGAAACTCAGGGTGTTCACCACTAAACTTGAAAAAAAGGGATGTTCTGCTGCTAAAGCACCTCCACCTTAGGAATGTCCCTAACAGTTATAACCACTTGGTTAAAACCAAGTTGTAAAGATGCTGGGAAATTAGGGAGGATACAGAAAGAGACTCAACAAATGGTAAGATAAGCACTGACTAGCTGCACATATAGAGATGATCACAATTTGGGTACGAAAGATAAAATGTAAAGAACTTGGGCATCAAGGAGGACACACAGATGCCAGTGTGTAATTGGTTAAAATGTTTGTTATTTAGGAGTGTGGGATAATGTGATAGGTTTAGTACATTTGAAGGAGGGATCTAGTTTTACCTATATAATATAAATGAAAAGCAATGCTCTTTGGGAACCATTTCCAGACTGCAGTTCAACATCAAGCTGCTGGAACTCTGACCCTTCTGTACAACCCTGATATGCAGAGGCATCACAGGGACCCCACAAATGAATGAATCTTAACTGGTCATTGGGTGAAATTTGTCTGTATAGGAGGAGTGGTGAGCATAAGAGATTTGCTTGGTATATGTATTCTGTGTGTGTTGCTAATAAATAGATGTTTAGAGCACAACTGTGTAAGGCTCTTTCACTGGGAAAAAGTTCCACAGACCCATAGAGCCCTTACCCCCAGGGAAAGGGTGGGGGTGCCTAAACTGAGTCGGTCACACCTTGAGCCCTCCATAGGGTATAGACACGGTGCCCTAAATTGAGCAGGTAACACCAGGGCCAGTGGCATTTGGCTTCCACATAGTGCACAAGAAAGATTTTTGCAAGTAAAAAATCCTCAGTGTTGTAAAAGAGGAAGCATCTCATTTTTGCCATAACCCAGTACATTGTGGATGTATTTTGTATACATTACTAATTTTCCTATGTTCTAATAATCATTCTTGAAAAGGTTTAATTTGGAATTATTACATGAACGCTTGAAATGGGGGGGGGGGGAAGAGGGAAATCCACCCCACTGTTTTAACAGCCCAACACAAGTGCACTTTGACTTAACTGTGGTTCCTGGGAAGAAAAAAAAAAATTCAGCTTCACAAAATATACTTCCCTTATTGACTTTTCCGCTGGCCATATGGAAAATACACAGCTAGCCAAGTGAATTTCTTACATAGGCACCTTTCATTTAATTCTTGGGTCATAATAGCACAACACACTGTGTAGAGACACATGAATACAACTCCCCACAAAATATTTACAATCCATCTTGTTGCCACAAGAGAATTCTTCAGAGTAATCTTTGGTTCCAAATTGTATCTTTGTGCAGTTTTCAATATTCATCGCCACAAGGCATGAAATGTGTGATCTCTTGCCAGGGAGACAGCTTTACTGCTTCTGCCTATTTACTAGGTAGGTAGTGAATTTAATGCTGTGCAGCTTTAGCCAAACTTGCTAAGTTACAATGTAACATTTTTTGAGTATAAAATACAGTATGCAGGAGTACAGCCCAGCAAAGCCACAGATATTGCTTTATATCTGCAGCTATCTGCATCTGCGGATTATTTTTTGCAGATCGTGGATGGATGCGGATCCAAATTTTCTTTCTAAAGCCCTGCAAATCTGCAGATAGCCGCTTTATATCTGTCAGTGTGGATATCCACAGATCATTTTTGCAGCTTGGATGCGGATACAAATTTTGTATCTGTGCAGGGCTCTATGCATGGGGAAAGGCAGTTCAATGCAGGATTTCTACAAAATAATTCATTAACAAGATAAATAACTTTGTTTTTTAAAGTGCACACTTCCCCATCCTATTCCTATTTTTGTTCCTCTAACAAGCAATGTAATAACAAAACAAAGAATAATAAAGGGACAAACCAGCCTAGGAAAATTTCTCAAATTCTAAATATCATGATTTCTTGAAGTTGAATTTTTAAAAAATGTTTTCTTTAGTTAATGGAATAAAAAAAACATTTAATAAAGTCAGACTTAATATATTATATCACAAGCATCCTGGATTATAGTAAGCAGCATTAGTAAAACTCAAATATCCTACATGGAAAAATATTTTAGCAAATCAAAAAATGACTTATAACAGGAATAAAATAGTATTAAAGTGCCAAAAAGCTTTGAATGCACAAGTAAAAATCTGCATAAACATAAAGGCCTGATCCTTGTGTCGCCGCCTCCCACCCCCGACTCCCAGGAAAGTCCATGGAAATTTTGGGTGTATAGGGAATGTCAGTGATTGGATCCTGAGCTTGACTTTACAAAGTCAAACTCAAGTACAAGCAAGACCTGGATTATTCTTGCTTTCTTGTTTTAGAAAAAGAGAAGCCAGTCTGTTTTTCCGTTGGATTAAAAAAGCATCTAAAACACAACCGTGTATTAAAAAAAGGCTAAGTCAGCTAAAAGGAGTTGTTAAAGGTGCAACAACTACTGCAGTTTACAAAGACAATTTAACTCTCTCAGAATTTTTCCAAATATTGTTACGAGTAACACCTACCATGCTGGGGGGAGGATTTGCGGGGGGGAGGGGAGGAGGAGGAGGAGAGAATCTATTTGTTCTATTTCTTTACTTTGTGCACATGACAGTAGTTTGGCCTTCTCTTGGCTTTGGTCTACACAAGAGACATTTACTGTGCTAGATATCTTTTCAACTTCCTAGTATGTTACATTTAATAGCCACAAAATGGTTTACACAAGCATGCTAAATATATTTTGTATTCCACTTGCTTTCAGCAGAACTAAATGCTGTTTTGTCAGAAACATTTTAAATGCCTTTGAGACTAGCTGTAGTAGTTCAACTAGTCCTCCCATAGCACCCTGGTCAAGTCTCCCAGAATGCATTGCTCCTGAACCATGAAACAGATACCCAGAGGTTATTGCAGATGAAGTGGTTTAGAACAGTTCTAATGTGAATGCAAGACAAACCTGCAATGGTTCCCAATGCAATTCAGCATGTTCATTGTGGACACAGTGAACTTTTATGATTAAACCAGTTCAATTCCCTAATGTAGACAGGTCTTTGCATATAGATCAAAATCACTGTTTGTTCTCTATATGCTGTCAGTTTCCCCATTTGTTAGTTTGGGTATTTCATACAGCAACAGGGAAGAGAAACAGTAAGAAAATGGTGATTGTGAAACCACAGAAAGACTCCAGGGATAGGTGGCATACCTGAAAATACTAAACTTTAAAAAAAGTTAATAGAAATTGACAGCCTCCCTTTAAAAAAAAGCTATACTGTGGTAGGGAAATTGAAATACACATTTAAATATCATGATGAGCAATATTCTAATAAATACTCTGAAGTTCTGTAGCACGCTGTTCTAGCATAGCCTGAAAAGGGACAGTCAAAAAGATACTTGTAAGCAGCAGGCATTTTAAGTATAGCTATTTAGGTGTGTCTAAAGATGAAGAGGTTGAGCTATCTACAGAACATGCTGAAGAACACACTTTTGTATATTTGTTCAACATGTCATCAAAAGTGATTGTTCTTATAAACTACTTTTTTTTTAAAACAGCTATGAGAAGACTGCATGAAAAATCCTAATTTAGGAAAGGATCTTGCAATTAAAAGAATGTTTGTGTTAAGTTGTATATTGTACCCTTTGTAGGAAATGTAACAATTTTCTCCCTCCTCTGCCCCCAACACAGATGGATTTCCCACCAAGGTTTGCAACAGTTTAAAATATTTAAACTAGACGTTTTAACTTATTTTTGTCTTATTTTGTTTTGATCATTCTAAGAGAAACCCTTGCAAATTATTTTGCACTGCTGTTTATAATATATTATTCTGTTTATAAATTTTGGCCTCAACAGAACTTGAACATTTATACCTGTCTCACAGTCATAACTGTAGATATTTGGCAAACTTCCATTTTATGAACTCCAGTCAATTACAGAGCTGACCACTGAACTGTGAATGCTTCCCCCTTGAAGCAAAGGCAATAAAGCTTGTGGTTTCTCAGAAATCAGTGGAAATACCTGCCATTTCGTACCTCCAACTCAGATGGGCAGGGTGAGGAAGGGAAGAAGAAAGAGAGGCACTTTATCACCAGTGGACACTGTACACAATAGCTAACACAAGCTGCATCAGGAGTGAAGATGATGTGCTGTACATAATCCTCTAAAAACAGACAGCAAGGAAGCAATTTTAAATCAGCATATACTCAGTGACACACTTAGTTGGAACCAGACTCTGAAAGCCTCATTGTTTTAGCAGTCTGTTCTCCACAGAAATCCTGTATGTGACATTTTCTAAACCTAGTGTAAAGAGAGAATTTGGTTTCTTAGAAGCCTCCACCACAAACTTTTCAAGCATTTCCATTTCTTCCTTCAGTTTTGTTTTAACTCTGTAAACAGAAATAAATAGGAAGTCCTTCCTTGGGAGATAGTGTTCAGTTGAAAGCAGATTTATAAGAAAGCCAAGGAAGTGGTCATCTAGGAAAAACCTCAAGATCACTTTCATTCTCATAAGCAAGTCTCCTCCACGTGAACTCAATCACTGTCTGATTCTTCCTTGTACTTGGCTCTAATGGCTTGACCATTCTGAAGTGGCATTTCTTCATAGTCACTCCTGTTAACAAACAGATATTTGTAAACATCCTGAACACAATGGCCAGCTACTTAGTTTCATGTAAACAGAGAAAAGGTACTAAACCAGTTCTACAATAATTTGGGCCGTCATCATTCACAAGGATTCACTAATCCAAAAGAATGCATTTCAGTTAAGAGACGTGAGCAATACATAATCCTAATCTCCAAATTCTTCCTCAAGGTTTGCTTCTATGCCTTGTCTACACTTGCAGCAGCATGTAGAATACAGGCACAACCGATGGAGCTACATGCCAGAGTGAAAGACAGGCTTCGTCACTGCAGTGCGTAATGCAGGGAGGCAGTGGGACACCGCTAAAAACGGAAGTGTAGACATGGAAAGCGCTGCTTGGGCATGTAAAGAGCCGTATAGGGTACATACCCCCTAGGGGTTCAGGCATGTACGGCATTCTACTTGCATAAGCCACATCTCACCATCTACACCGCTACTTATACCTGTGCTAGCTGGGTGTGCAATGTGTTACTTTACATGCCGCTGTAAGTGTAGACTTGTCTTTACTGTGACACCCATGGGACTGCGGACAACAGCTAATCAGGAGGCAAGCTGGGACTGCTGCTACTGATCAAAACGAAAACACACACAAAAGCAAAGACAAAAAAGCTATCCCTACAAGCTGCACATAACTAATCTATGCGAAACATATTCTAACTCTTTCACCTACCTGTTGTGTGGCTTTTTTTCCCCTTTTTTTACAAAGTCCGTAAGCCCTCAAGGGTAGGAACTGTTTTTACTGTGTGTTTGTCCAGCATCAAGCACAACGGGGCCCTGGCTGGGCCTCTAGATGCTATGTAAATACTAATACTACTGTTGAGTTCAGAATCTGAACTCAGGCAATTGCATTGGATTCGATTATTAATATTTTTAATGAATATTAGGTATCTAAAATAGCAATTGTCCTGCCCTACAGCAGTGGCCATTTTAAGTATGGCCCAGCTCTCAATCTATTCCCTCCTACTGCAACCTGCATCCTGCCAACCTGACTCCAGCACTCGTTTCCCATCTAGTCCCTTCTGCCAGCGTATTCTCTTCCCAAACCCTGCCACCCACATACTCCCTCTCACTGCAGCCTGCCATTGCCCTCACACCTACAAGTAGGGAATGTATCTTTTAGTATCAGTATCATGGCAGTCCCTTTTTCAACAGGAAAAAAAGAAACCAAGATAGTGTGAAACCTCATTACAATCATATTTTGGAGTAAAGTGCCCCAAAATAGAAGACTCAAGCTACAGTTGTCTTCCATTCTGTAGTCAGCAGGTTTGGATTTTCACTAAGAACAACCCACCAGGTCCTTAAACTTTTTATATTAAATACAGCAACTCCACACCCCCTGAATCACCAATAGATTTTTCACAATTGTGTTACTTACCCATAAATCACATCATCATCTGAATCATTCAGCATAGAAAAGGCAGGATTGTCTTTCAACTGTGACTCTGGAAAATATAGATATGGTTTTATTTAACCAGAAAATTGCATTCTTGACTTCAAACTTTTAGATTAGACTTTTACCAGAACTGAAGGGAGAGACTTTGTAGTTTCCAAGGAAGTTATAACTGGGATTCAGCCTGGAGTTTTACCCTGGCAAGGAAGGGATTGGAATCTGTGATTTAAACTCTTCAACCCCCATCTCACAGTATGTCAGCATTCATAACAGCTGAAGTTGACACCCTTGTCTAAAAACTCCAGGAGATGGGTATTCTCTATATTGTATTAGCATCATTATTTCTTCCCAGGTACAATTTCACCTGCCCACATTACTTATACCTGATATTTTAGAACACATTAGTCAATAAAGAATCTGGTTGAAAAGTATAAGCAGATTTTATATGACATTTCAGTCCCTTTCGCTTATTTATGACTAAAGTTCCAAAAGTAATGAAATCTAATAATTGTTTGGTCATTAATGCCTATCTAAGGTGTTATAACTTAGGGTATATATTTTTCACTTTCACACAGGGAGGAGGAAGGTACTGCTGTAACTTCATGCTGGAATGGAAGGATGCACACACTCTTTCCATTGGCTGTCTACAATACCACCTCTCCAGGTTGCCTGGCATAGGCCTGTGAAGTCTTGGGGCTAAGTATATCCCTGGTGTAAGTTGACAATTCCACTGAAGTCAGTAGAGTTACAGAGTGAAATCTAGCCCCTAATGGTTTGCCACAAGATCCAATACCTTCTGCATGCTTTTGAATTCTTCTAACCCAGGAACAGATGTAAATATTTGTTCCCAGCCAGCCAGCTAGCTAGTTGCATCTCCTATAATGGAAGTATGGGATTCCTGAAGCAGCTCCATTCACCTTAGTTCCAAAATCAGTTTAGTGAGAAACTGCTCTGCCCCAATAAATAAGGCCCTCCCCATGTATGTAGTACATGCTAGCTGCCCAGCATACTTACATTCAATGGTTAAAGCAGAAGACATCCAGTAGCCATATTTATTATTGAGTGTCCTAAAGCTACACAATATTAAGAGGCACATACAATAAATGTAAAATTTTCATGGATTAGATCAATGCATGTTTCTATTGTTACTGGCTATTTGAAGCCACCATAAGCTGCTCATATACACAGAACAAAATGAAGTGCTAATGAAATAGCCAACATGTGAAGATTTGATGACCTCTATAGGCATGCCAGATCTCAGCAGCAATCTGGAAAATTTTACAGTAGGTCACTTACCATACAGTGCATTCTTTGATGGGGAATACACAAAGGCTAAGGTGTAGAGATAGAAGTTGAGTAAACCATAGAATGATAAGAATTCTGCTGGTAATAATAGTCAAGGATATTACACAATACAGCTAGGTACATATTAATTTTGAATAAACCAAACATTAGGCAGGATTCTCCCTGCAACAACATTTTGGGAAAGCTTGATGACTTTTGCACAGCACTTCCAAAGTACGAAGAGTATTAACTGTGTACTGTTAAAAAAGTTTTGGGACACTGATGTTTAGTTTGGCATTGTCTTAGATTAAGTTAACTGGGTGGGAGGGAGGAGTGACTGCAATCAGATAGAACACTAAGACATGGTGGGGCTGTTCCCCTTGTTTTTAAGGTACCCCATTAAAGCTCTCTATTTTAGTTTCCACTAGTTATAGAAAAGTTCAGCAGTCATTTTCTAGAAGATATTGGGCACTTCCGGTCACACAGCCAGTTTCAGAATCTAGAGAGAACTGTACTCTAGTGGTTTGAGTTGCAGATCCAGAAATACAAGTCTAATCCTGGCTCCAACACAGACACCAGCTGGCAACATCTGGAAAATTGGCTTCCCCATCTGTAAAATTTAATGTATCTAAAAAACTGTACTTTATAATGAATGAGATGGAGCCAACTGCTTGACTATCAAATTAGTACTGTGCAAATGCTGTTTCTAAACCAGCAGTTTTGGGAATATCTCCCACTGGTGGAAACTCTAGAGTAGACTAGCTTTGCTTCCACCTTCCCCACCCAACCTTACCCCCACATGCCCTCTCTCAGTTATCTAGACCTGCACTGAATGGGTCTAAACAACACAGTAGTAAACATACTAGTGACAAGTCTTTCATAATACTCCAGCTGTCACTACACCAGAGGAGCTGTACCACAACAAATGGAGATTTCCCCAAAATTGCCAGCATAGACAAGATTGAACTGTAGCAAGATATGCATGAACACTCTCCAGTTGTACCATGATCCTGCAATAATATTTTCCTTCTGTATTGGAAACTCAGCCCTGAACTGGAAAATGTAAGATGGCAGTTTGCAGAACTACTTCCTACCTCCTCCAATTACGCAGCCCATCATACTTTTAAGTGAATTTAATAACTATGCCAATTTGCAGACATCGGCTAGCTACAGAATATGGTCAGCATAGGCAGCATCCATGTAAATTACCCCCCAGTGTCCTTCCAACATGACTCAGCCCTGCTCTGAAGGGATAACCTACTACACATATATGGGAAATAAACTTGTCCTGTCTTCGTGCACATTCCAGAGTGCCAATTATGGCTGTGGATTTTGTGACGTGGACAGCTGTTCAGAGAGTTGGATTGAAACCAACACATTAATTTGGCATCCATCATGAATAACCATCAGAAAATAACAATTTGCATTCACTACCAACCCGGGTTGGATTTGAACTGGTGATCTAGTGGTGAAAGACAACTCCTGAGCCATCGTCTCCGTACATTCACTTAACTGAAACAAGTTACCAATATTCCTAAATGACTGGAAGCCACAATGGAAGGATATAATTCTGATAATGAGTTGAAAGCTCAGCTACAAAGTTGTCCTGTAGAACTCGTGCTCCAAAGCGTAGATAAAGTATAACAATGCTGTGGGAGACAAGACAGACACTGTGGCTATATGCACTGAACTGTAACAACATTTGATGAGGTGAGTAATGGGGAAGGTAAGAACAGAGTTATAAGAAAAAATAGCACCTTGTCTTAGACTAATGTGACAAATCTATTCAGCTGCTTATTCTAAGAGACATTTGATTTCACACTCAATTTCAAAAAACATTCTGAATTAGAAGTCAGTCAGTCAGTTGAAGGATGGGAAAATTTAACCTATTTTTTCCTGGGTTTCCCATAAAGCACAATCCATAAAAGTCAGCAATGATTTGACCCTACAGTGATGGAAGGTGCGTATTAGAACCTAGTTTAGAAAAACAACATTGGCAACTCACCCCAATCTTTGATTTCACATTCTGTCAGGATCCCAACTATACATATAAAATGATGGGGTCTAAATTAGCTGTTACCATTCAAGAAAGCTATCTTGGATTCATTGTGGATAATTCTCTGAAAACATTCACTCAATATGCAGCGGCAGTCAAAAAAGTGAACAGAATGTTGGGAATTATTAAGAAAGGGATAGATAAGACAGAAAATACCATATTGCCTCTATATTAATCCCTGGTATGCCCACATCTTGAATACTTCGAACAGATGTGGTCACTCCATCTCAAAAAGATATCTCGGAATTGGAAAAGGTTCAGAAAAGGGCAACAAAAATGATTAGGGATATGGAATAGCTTCCATATGAGGAGAGATTAATAAAACTGGGACTTTTCAGCTTGGAAAAGAGATGACTAAGTGGGGATATGATAGAGGTCTATAAAATCATGACTGGTGTGAAGAAAGTAAATAAGGAAGTGTTATTTACTCCTCCTTATAACACAAGAAGTAGGGGTCACCAAATGAAATTAATAGGCAGCAGGTTTAAAACAAACAAAAGGAAGTATTTCTTCACACAACGCACAATCAACCTGTGGAACTCTTTGCCTGAGGATGTTGTGAAGGCCAAGACTATAACAGGGTTAAAAAAAGAACTAGATAAATTCATGGAGGCTAGGTCCATCAATGGTTATTAGCCAGGATGGGCAGGGATGGTGTCCCTAGCTTCTGTTTGCAAGAAGCTGGGAATGAGTTACAGGGAATGGATCATTTGATGATTACCTGTTCATTCCCTCTGGGGCACCTGGCATTGGCTACTGTCAGAAGACAGGATATTGGGCTAGGTGGACCTTTGGTCTGACGCAGTATGGCCGTTCTTATGTTCTGTGGGGAAATAGAACAGGGGGGCCTTCTTTTTAGTAGCCAAAGCTGTGAATCTGAAGGCCCCAAAATAAACCCTCCAACAGAGATCTGTTATGTTGACTGCCCTTACACAGAGCAGCACAGGCCTAAGTCTGTGCAAGACTGAACAACACGGTTCTCTGCCAAACTCGGTCAAGGGTAATGGCCAGAGGAGGGGGGGCGGGGGGGAGAAAAACATAGAACAATGCTAAAGGTTACAACAGAAACTGCTTTAGCAATATAATAACCACAAGTTTTTGAAACCGCTGGAAAAATAGAATATCCACTTACATTAAGAAATTGCCTTTGCAAAGAGCTAATCATTCTTGCAGTTGCAGCTATCTGCAAAGTTTTCCAATTCCAGCTATCTGCAAAATTAGCCAATCATAGATCTTCTTTTAGCGTCCCCTGATAAACCCCCCTTAACCGAACCCCCCGGAAAATAACATGTGCCTTGCCGAGAAATGCACCCAAACTGGTGCCATGTACCACCCCTGGGGAAAACCACCAAGCGCCCCGCTACCCAAATAAACACCCAGCTCATGGGAAATAATGAGGAGGGTACCGGGTGGAGGGGGCTGACCCCAACCCCAATTTCTTAACTCATGATGTATTGTTTGTACTTTGCTTGCGGTTTAATGAAATAAAAACCCGCCTGCGAGCGGTCCTCGGTGAGTTAGTCTTCGGACTGCACCCCAGTGCACTGGTATGTATGTCAATAAACTGGCCTCAGGCTTGAGTCTTTGAACTAAAATCACTGCGTGGGTGTCTTTGACCACCACAGTTCAGCACATGAAACTCCACAGAAGGTGAATGCTGCCTTGCAGATAACTCTGCAGGGTGGACTTCTCTCTGGTAGATACATGTCCATAACTACAGTCTGATCAATGTGATGGTGGTAGTAGTGGACAGTTCACTCTAAATACCTCACGAAAGGAGGTTACAGAGCAAGAGGTGCTCACCAAAGGGCAGATTAGCAAACCACTCCTGGTTATAGGCAGCGACCACAATACCGCTTTAGAAAAAATTGATTTACAGGGGCAACCACAATGTGGGCTACATTGGCAGCTTGCCAGGACCCAAAAGGTTTTACCTAATTTACATAAGAGTGAAGTAGATTGCAGCTGCCCCCATTTTAATATGGAGGTGTGCCTCATGGATATTACAAGTCCCAACATGAAATGCTCCCTCTTGTTCTGATGACCCTCACAGACTGATGCATACCAGGTCTTCTCACCGCTGAGGGCTGCATCTCCAGGATGAAAATAAATGCAGCCACAAGCAATAGTATAGAAATCGGTGACCTATATTTAGCCCTTGGCTGCCTCAGATTTAATCAGAGTGGATACCATCTCTTTCCAAGGTCTAACACCAAATCTGTCCCAAAACAGGTTCAGTCTCCTCTTAACTGTTGATGCTGTAAACCACATTTGCTTAGTCTGTTCTAGACGGAAACAGTTTTCCCTCTGATAAGAATATTCTAGATATACCACTTAAGTTTAGAGTAATAGCCCCTTGCTTTCAAACACCGTTCATAATGACACCATCAACCCCATTAGCTGAATGGAACAATCCCATATGTTTACGGTTCTTATACACATTCCCCTTTTGCAACATTTTAAGGCTGCCATAAAAGAGCAACATAAGTCAATCTACATTTTTTCCAAAAGGCAAACCATTTTCATGTCATGGAGAGTCAGGTGTGGGACTCCACAAATCACAGCAGAAGTTTGAGCGTTTACAGACTGCTCAATTCTCCTAGATGATCAGTGCAATTGTATTTTTTAATGCAGGCATACAGAGCAGGTTTTTAGTCACTCATCATTCTACTTACCCAAGAGCTTCACTGCCAGTTCACCAATCTCATCTTGGCCTCGTTGATTCAAGACATTAAATAGATCAGAGTGGGATGTCTTCATTTTGGGTTATCAATGTTCTTTCCCTTTCTCCTTCCCCTCTTATAGAGGCCATTTGCCCCAGAGTCTAGGTTAACTAAACTCTCTGCATCCCTTAAAAACAGGCATTGTTGGTGCCCCACTAGCTTTCTTGGGCTAAAGACAGAATTTAATGGCAGACTTTCAAAAGAAAAAGTATGAAAGCCTTGTGACCATCTCACAAGCTTCTTGAGCTCTACCGTTCTGAGAAACAAATTATGAAATCTGTCTCAGACAGTCTGCCTGGACAGCAACAGTGCATCACAATGCTAGCTGAGTCAGTGCATTTGCTTTTAAAAAAGGCTCTTTATTTTTTTTTATAAACAGAGGGCCATGCACTTCCCAAGAGCCACAGCACTGCTGTAGTGGGATATCAGTAGGAATTTTTTGGAAAAATAAGGACACCAAGATCTATTGATTATGGAACTGAGTGGTGGAATTTATTATTTGGTGAGTGCCAGTAGCGTGCAAGATTTTAAAATGTAGATTGGATGCAGTGGCATTTTTAAGAATGAACCCAGAGAAAGTTGTGAATGGATAACCTGCTCTGAGGGTGCACTATTTTACTGATAACTTGATTGCCAAGAACCGTTTTTTCTTTAAGAAAGTTTTACAAAGCTATAAATATTACAATGCAGAGAATATGTACTTTAAAGAAGTCTTACCTAATGACAAGAACTACAAAGGTCAATGCAGTCAAGAATTTTAACCTGAGATCTGGAAGGATTAAGAACAATTGTCAGTTATTTGAGAGCTTACACCCCCTGCCCCAAATATCTAGCCATCCTTGGGGGAAACCCATTTGAAGGAAACACGAAGAAAGTACTGCTTACCAACATAAGGCATGTTGCGAAGCTCTGAACACGCCCTCACTATCAGGAACAAAAGGTACAAGATATATACAGTTGCCACCACAAGGAAGAAGATTTTCATTCCCTGCAATAGAAAAAAATATTATATAGTTTTACTGAACAAGATTTATCCTATTCTTTCTTCCTTCAAATCCATCCCAGAGACAGAAACCACCATCTCCAAAAGCATGATCCATTTGTTCAGGGCAATTAGGCTGGAGGAAGGAAGCATGATACTCCCTTGTCTGTAGCAGAAGTGGCTGTGGTGGTTTTGTCAATTTTGGGATGTAGTGCAGTGGAGAGGGTGTTTCAAAGGCCACTTCTTTCAGTTGAAATAGTTCAAATCTCAGAAGTTTTCTAAAAATGGCCACACAGCTCTGAGAAGCAACAGGAGGCTGTACAGAACGGATTTCTCCTACAGAAGGGAAAATGGAGATTTACTGAGAAAGCCAAATGTTCTGAGAATAGAAGGTGGTGGAGAACTAGGAGGCCTAACAAGGAGCTCATTTTTGGCTCACTGAAAGGTAATGACTATATTTCTGATGAGATCCAAGATGCCCTGGGTGATTTCTAACCAGAAACTACTCATTTGCAAACAGTTCCAAATGGTCTTCCCTGTGGTGACAGCTCAATATTCACACTATGGCCTTCTTTCTTAATAGTGCAGTAGGCCTATAGACACACGCCTCTTCATCCAAAAGGAAACATTCCATGTTTCCAGTACAGAATATGCAATGGAGGGAGCATCTTTCTATAAACATACAAGTCCATTTTAAAGACATTTGCATTAGCCAAACAAAAAATCTGAACAATTTTCCTTAAAATAGTGAAAATATATTTTTAGTCTTCAGATCTTCCATTCAGCACTAGGTGTTCTTTAAAGTTTTACAGCAAAAAAAATAGTTACATTTCAGCCTGAAGAATATATAATATAATGTAATACTAAATACCTGCCAGATCTCTTCACACACCTCTTCCCCAGTCTTACCTGAGTAGACATACAAAATCCATATGGAAGTGTCAAAAAAGTTTGATTCAAACTTACCTGAAAATTACCTGTGTCAACCCTGAACTGGTATGTTGGATCATGTAGTTCATTAACACTAGAAAAGATCAAAGATCAGGAAGTAAATCACAGTTCTAATGGTGTCAGGTTAAACCAGAAACATGCATTGACAAAAGACACTACTGGAATTCTAGTCTTGTTATACTGAGATTATGGATATTGGGCCAGCTCCTCAGCTGGTGTAAATTGGTAGTTATACTGATTTTAAATTGAGACACATGGATTTATACCAGCTGAGGATCTGACCCATTGATTTTACCTATCACGCATGTGGGGATTCTGGGTTTTCAGCTATTCTTTATTCATTTTCCCTATTTTTGGCTACTTTAAAACATAGTAATTTCCTACAAAACTTGGGTTTCACAGATTTATTGAGTTTGATCGGAGCAATGAAAAAATGCAGGATCCGACTCTTCACTCATTATCAAGTATGTATCCGTTCTAGGACAGAAGGGCAGTCTCTGTTTTCAATAGCATTTTCCTGAAGCTGCATAGCTTTCCACCTTAACTACCCCCCCATTTACTTCCCCCCCAAAAAAACAAAATATAAGAGGGACACAATTGTGGTTAATGTGCCTTAGAAAGCCACATCACCCAAATGGTGGGGTAGTTGTCTGGCAGCAGGATGTTTCTATCTTTATGTTAGCTTATCAAATTGGAAGGAATTCAGAAAAGAGCAACACAAATTATTCAAAGGTCAAAGGGACTAATATAAGAGGAAAAATTAAACATATGTATTACTTGGCTAAACAACAGCTTGATGAGGTGAGTAGGACAGTTTACAAATATATGTAGAGTGTAAATACTGAGATGCGAGGTTCAGCATGGTCTAAGAGGGTATAGCACTTGGCGTAATGGAATAAAATTGAACAAACCAACATATCCTATCAGTAAGGCCTCTGCCTGGCCTTTCCAAGAGAAGGGGAAGCTCTACTACTAGGAATCCTGTTCTAAATTGACCAAAACACTGGAGAATGTATTGTAGGGAGACATCATGCACTGGCTGTGAAATTTATGTAGGTGTGTGTTATTAGGGCAGCCATTAGAGAGTTAGTTTCAGTTTACAAAATGGGAAGATCTGACAGAACTGGTGTAGCTCAATTTATCCATTTCCAGACCACAATCAAAACTTCAAAAGAGAGACATCACTATTTGTAAACCACCTCCTCTTTCCTGAACAGCTTTTTCTCACTAAAACTTAGTGCAAAGGGAAATTACTTACGTTTGCCATATTCCTAATGTAACACAGGCCAACCACAGAAGCCCAACGATAAAGAATTTGGGAAAATAGAATGTTAAGCATTTCCTTTCTCCCTGTTGGGGCAACAGAAGACAGGTTAAGAATATTTGAATTCACCTGAGAGAGAATGTTAGTTCTCAACACATTAAAATAGGAACATCCATGTGACGTTATTGACATGAACTGTGACGGTATAGATCATTGATGCAACCAAGGTCCTATAGTGGCACCAAATCTCGTACAAAGAAGGTCAATGTGTCTATGAAAAGGTTATGATTTGCTGGTTATGATTATGTTATCTGTATGCACGTATCATTTTTGTATTTAAAGTTTCAAGTATTGGCTCTATACTGTCGTATTTCAAACTTGTGCTATGCTTCTAGGTGACACCCCAGACAGTTTGGCATCAGCTCTGCCTAGTCTGCTTGATGGCCCATTAAAGACCATCAGCTATACAACTGACCCATTGAGAGATGGCAGATACACCTTATGACTCAGCAAGGCTTGCAGGGGCATGCCTACAGAGAGGACTCTAAGGCTTTCAGGCCATGTGCTGGGCAGCTTTGTTTTGGAATAAAGGAAGCACAGGCCGCATGGCAAGAGACTATAAAAAGCAGCTGCATCTTCTCCATTTTGTCTTCAATCCTGCTTCTTACCTCTGGAGGAACTGTGCTACAAACTGAAGCTCTGAACAATGGACTGAATGACCCACCCAAGCTGCGGATGTACTCCAGAGACTTTACTTAAGCCAGCAATTTATTCCATCACTGCTAACAAGCCTGAACCAAGAACTTTGCCATTACTGTATGTAATTAATTCCATGTAACCAATTTTAACTCTCATCTATATTTCTTTCTTTTTATGAATAAACCTTTAGATTTTAGATTCTAAAGGATTGGCAACAGCGTGATTTTGGGCAAGATCTGACTGGTATATTGACCTAGGTCTGGAGCTTAGTCCTTTGGGATCAGGAGAACCTTTTTTCTTTTACTGGTATACTGGTTTTCATAACCATTCACCCCCATAAGGAGTGGCGCTAGTAGTGACACTGAGAAACTGGAGCGTCTGAGGAATTGCTTGCCTGACTTCTGGTTAGCCAGTGGGGTAAAACCGAGATCCTCTTTGTTTGGCTGGTTGGTGTGCCTCAGCAGTGAAGGAACCCCAGCCTTGGGCTGTAACTGCCCTGCTCTAAGCAATTTGTCCTGAATTGATACGCTCAGTAGTGTCCCGCCTAAGGCCACTTTGTTACAAGCCATACTTTGGGTTCACTCCCAAAATGCTTTTTAAAAAAAGCAGCATCTGCAATTTATTTTGTAAGATCCAAAGCTCACTACACAGTGTATAAAAACTGTTTTAATCACATGTATGTTAAAACAAAGTGAGGATATTACAAGATCTGACACACTTCATTGATTCTGCAGCTACAAAATCCACTTCTTTCCTTAAAGTTGTGCTCCAGAATTTGAGTTCTCTTTTTTTATTTTTTTAAGATTGTAAAATGTATGATTGCAAAAAAATAGCTTTCCAAATACGAACCAAGTGGAAACTACTGCAGAGTTGCTCTGCAACTAGTCTAGAATTAGAGCTGAGAAGGTGTGAACAATGCCAATAAGGTTCTGCCAGAATAGCTCAGTATTTCACTGCTAATCATTTTAGCCTCAAAGTCACCATTCTCTACGCCGGTCCCTGAGATCTCCCTGACACAGTTTAAGGAAGGCAGCAAGCCGATCCTTGGTATCAAAAAAGTGGAGAAACACTGCTCTATAACAGAGCTCTGTCTCTTCCCTAGCACAAGGGACAAAGCACCCAAATGGCTAACCACAAATCACATATTCAGGTCATAATGCAAACAGTATAACACTACATCAGGCTTTCACAACAGCTTAGTCACTCTGTGAATCCATTAAACAATGAGCTAGAATATATAAAACAACTGATCTGAAATAAAATGGAAGAATTGAGTTTAGCATACGGGACAGAATAAAAAATCACATTACACTGTGTATAGAATTAGTTTTGTGAACACTTTCATATTAGGCATGATTTCATTTTGTTAACAGCTTGGAAAAAGAGTACCACATAAATCAGGGAGAAAAATTAAAACTACATAATGCAAAACTGAATTAATGCTAATATCTCTGCAGCAAGTACTGAGTAACTGTCCTCTCCTTACCTGCACTCTTATCCCGTGGTAGACACAGAGCCAGAACAGCAGCAATGCACACAGAAACACTGACTGAAAGAGGTCATCAAGCATTCCAGGAAACCAACTGTTCACCAAAAATGAGAGGGGGAAAAATGGATCTGTAACAGAACAGAAGAAAAATCATAGAATTTTATTTTCTTTTTCAATTTTACCCATTAATCAAAGGTGGAAAAAACCCAAAGTGTCTTCAGAGAACAAGCAGATTTTTCAAAATCTTAGCAAGTAAGTGGCACTGCAGTTGGTTAAATCTGAAAGTTCATAACAAATACAAGGCACCTCCAACAGGTACTCCTCCCTGTGCTAAGCAATCACTTTAAGATTTTCCCCAAGATTTCCAGTAGAGTTCATGTTTTGTTAGCCCTTTAGTTAGAGGGCACCTACTACACAACTGTTTCTTGCTGGTTGCCTAAAGTCAGGTCTCAGTGTAGTTCTAGTGTTAAAGTTCCTGGGGACATGTAACACGGCTGCTGCTGCCTGAGCAGTCCCTCATGGCCAGAGTTCCCTTTGCAGCAAGCCCCCTCTGTTCTGTCTCATCAGGACCACTTACAGACTTCCCACAGACTTCAGCTGGGGCTGGTTTAATGCCCGCAAACAGTCCCATCAATAAAGTCCATCACTGCAATCCAAAGGTTCATACTTCTCTCTGGCTCTTCTGCCATCCATAGCCTCTTCTTCACAAGGTTGCTTCTCATAACTGTCTCTCCCTAGATTTTAACTTTCCAGCTCTGGCTTCCTTCTCCTGTCAACGTCTCTCCCCTGTTCTGAGGGAGAAGGCAGTGTATTCACTGGCCTCCTGTGAAGAGTTCCTCCTAACTGCCTGGAAGTGAGGGGAGCCCTGCCCCACCTTACACTACAAGGCCTGGGCCCTTAAAAGGAACAGTGTCCTGGTGCTTTCCTCCCACCCAACTTCTAATTCCCTGGGACGGTCTCCTCTCTTCTGCCACCATGCCACTTCCTGGGTCTTGGTTCATTCAAATTCCTTGGAACAGCGTCCTCTGGGCCACCTCTTAAAAGAGCCAGTACACCTCATTACAGGGCCAAATGCTATTTTGATATCTACTGGATCTCTAGCAATTTGGCTTGGTTTACAAGCTAGAGACTAAAAGCAGCCTCCATGCTTAATTGAGGAGCTACTGGTATCTCAGTGCCTCCAGAGAGATGCTCAGTTAAATGCAGAGGCTGGATAATACTACCACCTTTAAAACGGATAATACAACATTTATCTGATTCAGAATTTTAAACAAACAGGAACAACATTTATTTGAAGGACTGAAAGGAAATGAAACCCATCTGATTATCATGGTGTCTGGCCTATTGAAAAGAAGGGATTTATTTGTATGTTTTTAAAAGAAATTCAATGAGTACATAACTGAATTTTTATAAGCAGTCACATATTTTAAAGGGGCCAAGCTGATTGTAAGAGAACCCTACAAAAATGGCATAATATATATACACACACAAATACCATTGTAAAGCAGCAACAGGGGAAGGAGGATGGACATCCATTTCTGTTCAATTCCCCAGTCCCTCATGGAAAATTTCCGGAGGGAATGTGCAAACAGACACTGCAAAAAAACCAAAATTTTATTGGCAACTGCCAGTTACTATATTACATACATCAACCTTCATCTATCTTGTCCTTCCTAGCCTTAGCAGAGCTAACAGAGACTAATACACTAACAATGTTACTCAAAAGGAAGTGTGCTCTGTTGAGTAGACTTTATCACTGGGAGTCAGGTCTCCAAGGTTCTATTTCTCATTCTGATATGTTGTGTGACCTTGAGCAAGTCACTTAACCTCTGGGACAGCCTGAAATGGAAACCAGCTGCTACTGCACAAATCAGCATCATTTGTGTGATGCTGCCAATTTACTGTTTGATATTACTATATAGACTATAACAACGTACCAATATCTGCCTAAGCTAGCCAACAAACTTCACTGACAGGTCAGGTCATGTACCACATTCATTGTTACTTGATAAAAGGTGTGTGCGCACAAACACACACACACTCTCTCTCTCTCTCTCTCACACATACATTATTCTAGAAAGTGTGTAGCAACACCTACTACATTCAAAATTACATTAGGACTTTCATTCTAACCCAGTGTTTTCATTCATTATGTCAGAAATTTTCCACTCCAGTTTTTCAGAAATATTTCATTACTTGGTCTCAGCCCCAAGGTGAGTTTTTTCTTGAAAGTTTGAGCAATATTCTTTCAAACATTCTGAGTTGTACAAAGTATATGATTTTCCCCATTTGCAATACCACCCAATCCAAAAAACACTCAAACACAGCTGGACTTGAAAATGCAGGTTGAACTAAACCCTTCCATTGTTTGCAGAAATTTTAAAGCACAAACTGAATTATAAGTATTTTTAAAAATGGTTTTGCACATGCACAGTAGGAGGCTTTGCTAATGTTGAGAGCTATGATACCAAACACAGGACTGGGTAGCAGTTGAATTAGCCACCTGCACACCTATCCCCAGCCCTCCAAAAAAGTTAAGTAAGATACTGTACTCACAGTGACCATGAAAGTAAGAACTACAAAGACAAATCGGAACCAGATTTCCACTTGTGAAAAAGATGGGTTGTAGGTTTTCCACTACAAGATAATAAAAGATAAATTAGTATATTAAGAGGAAGCTGATAAAATTTGCATAACATAACAAATTACTAGTACTTGCAGACACAATATTGCATAAAAGTCTTACAGATTAATCCACTGGCTTTCTCAAGTTTACTGGCCAAGCCACTGCAAATTCCACTGCACCACCTTAGAAAGATTAAGGCTAATTCATGCCTCGCTGCCTCCTCCAACCTCGATATTGTTATGAAAATTTCAATAAATAAAAATAGAGCTGAAGCAGCCTACCGTTCCTCATGCTTGGTACTAAGTTACAGGATAAAGAAGAAGCACTGTACATTCTCAAAGTGCGATCATACATGCCAAACCACACACTAAGGCAAAAAAAGGAGGATGAAACCAACATAGGTTAACTTCCCTTTGTTTAAGACTTTACAGTAAATTCATCAATTGACTCAATCCACTGCAAGCTTCTTTATTTTTGAAGACTATGCATGTTTGTAGCTGACTAAACTTGCTAAATTAAGAAGAGATTAATGATTGCTAATTAGCTCATTTATTTCTCCTTCATCTGGTTTTTGCTTCAAGAAAAAGGAAAGCAAGTTCTAAAACCACGCAACTAACTTAATTTCCGCCCCCATAACAGATATTATGGATAAAATGTAGCTTATATAAACTTTTAAAAAGGTTTTAAGTTATTCTGGGGTCCACATATTAGACTTTAAAGGAGACTTAGAAAATGGTTATAAAAATGGTTATACAAATGTACAAGCACAGGCACAAAAATCTACTCGCCAACACCCTCTGGCCCTGGTGTGACTTTGGGCAAGTCACTTCACCTCTGTATGTCACTGGTTTCCCTCTTTGTCTGTCTTGTCTATTTAAACTGCAAGGTCTTTAGATCAGGCACCATTTATTTTGCACTACATATACAGAGCCCCAGTATGCTACACACTGTGCAATCTGGGGATACTAGACACTCTGGGCAAGCAGAGTTTTACAAAGCTGCCTTAAAGGTCATGTGCAAAGCAAAATGATAAAGTCTATTGCAGGGATGGCCAACTTGAGACTGAGGACAATGTACATTGCCAAAGAGCCACAGTAATACGTCAGCAGCCCCATATCAGCTCCCCCACCCCCATTCCCAGTCGTCTCCCACCCACTGCCCGCCCCACCGATCAGCGCCTCCCCCTCCCTCCCCGCACCTCCCTATCAGCTGTTTCATGGCATGCAGGAGGCTGAGAGGAGCAAGGGCATGGCAGGCGCAGGGGAGGGCGTGGGAAGGAGTGAAGTGGGGGCAGGGCCTGTGGCAGAGCAGAGAGCACCCCCAGGCACATTGGAAAGTTGGCGCCTGAAGCTCCAGCCCCGGAGTTGGTCCTTATACAAGGAGCCGCATATTAAACTTCTCAAGAGTGCATGTGGCTCCAGAGCCACAGGTTGGCCACCCCTGCTCTATTGCTTCACTAATGTGCTGAATACTCTCCACTTACCCAGCAAAGAGGTACATTCAGTGTATAAAGAACTAAAAGCTAATATTTTGCCTTTTCATTTTAGGTCCCTACATGCTAGCAGCTGTGACACATAGAATGCTATATGTTGGAATATCACAGCACAGCAACCACTGCTGGAATATACACCCAGCCCACAGCAGCACAGGCAGGATCAACTTCAAAGTTTCTTTTTGTATATTGGCTTTGGAGTCAATCAGCACAAACTGGTGAAGTACTGTAAACATTTTGTTTTGCAAGTCACCTTTGTATGCTATGGTTTACACTCAGCATATTTCTTCGGGGAGAATGGCTCTGCTTGTCTTGAGTACATTTTTCCCTTTCCTCCCAACACTGTGTGTGCAAAAACAAGAACAAAACCCCAATCAAGAGTTTCCTGCAATGATAATTTTCTAACCTCATATGCTTTTCGAAAGTCTGGAGAAATCCTACTAAATCTCAATACACCTACCATAACAGTTGTAAACGGCCAGCTGTTTGGGGATGTAAGATTTGAATTCACATATTAACCTGTCTAAACGAGACATTTCTTGTGAGCTCAGGTCCCAACACTGCAATCAGTTGAACATGGGAATGACAGAAATGCAATTTTTGGATTGCCTATTTGTATGATAATAGCCAGGAGGCTTTTCCATTTTACAGTTATTTCTTAGCAGTGCTTGAGTGCAGAGCTGTAAGAACAAGACAAGGGTTTCGCATGTGCATTCAAGTTCTTTTCAATGGTGTGCTTTGTAAGAAACTATAGAATGGCTTTCTGAACAGGCTTTCCTTATCCACACTAATCAGAACTGTTCTAGCTCTAATCATGTTTGAACAGCTGTTGCTGGCTGGGACTTAGTATGGCTTTCCGAGGGCTAATAAAGATTTATAGAGAACAGCACTACAGACTACCGCTCTAGGTAAGCACAAGTTCATAACAGTTCTGACAGAAGAGTTCTTCTCCACACTAGTCAGGGGAATTGTGCTAGAACTTCGACAACGGCAAATAAAGTATGTTTACAATCTCAGTGAGGATAGGGCCTTAGCTTCCACACGTTTTCTGTGCAAGTGTTTCACCTTCAAAAGGGAAATGACGTACATTTTACTATGGTTAAAGTAGCCTTCCGCAACAATAATTAAAACTGAAGATTTTTTTTTTTGCTAGCATGCTACTGTTCACTTACTGTGAAATTCACATTCTTGATGGGGTACATCAGCTTATTCAGATCCTCAAAACCAACCATGACTTCGTACTGAGTATAAGTCAAGTAGCCAAGGTGAACCACAATGATTTCGGCACATTTCTATGAAAACACACAGTAGAGTCAGAATACCTCATAAGAGCTTTATGCTGTAATTTATATTTAAGGGCTTACACCTCATTACGATTCAATTACAAAAAATGACTAACATAGTGAAGTTATAATGGATAAACAAATTAGGAGATCTGAGAGAGATTCCAAAGGAATTTATTTAAGGCACTCAGGCAAAGTAAAAGTTCAATGGGTGTCAACTGCCTATCAGTCAAAATACTTTTCTACTGAGAAATATAGCTGTATTTAAGTATCAGAGGGGTAGCCGTGTTAGTCTGAATCTGTAAAAAGCAACAGAGGGTCCTGTGGCACCTTTGAGACTAACAGAAGTACTGGGAGCATAAGCTTTCGTGGGTAAGAACCTCACTTCTTGCATCTGAAGAAGTGAGGTTCTT